GATGGCAAAAGACAGGAGGGCCTGGTATGATGTGGTCCATGGGGTCGTGAAGAGTCGGACTTGACTGTGCAACTGAACAACAACAACTTTCAGCTGGCAGGCATTGCAACACGAAAAGGCAGTCTTATGCAGGTGGCCAGTGAATGGCCTTAAAATTTTAGTTGTTTTATTTTCTGGTATATTTATATATAAAAATGTTTAGAACACTCCAAAATACAATAAACAATACACTCAAATCACACACAGGCATACACCAGAACTGTGGGTTGTGCCCTGGAGATCAAGGTTGCATGCTTTCCGTGGATGTTTCCAGAGGAAGTAGTGGCCACACATGCAGAGTTGGATTATTAATGGATTATTATTATCCCACTAACCCAGTGCTGCTTGTGCCATTGCCTTTTCTTCCCCTTTCTGTTCTGCGATCAGAATCCGTAGGCCCTTCTGCTGAATAGCCGGCCATCGATTTCACTCTCATTGACTTAAAGGGATGCTTTGAAACATCATAAACTTTAAGAATGCACATGGGGATCTTTAAAAACCCAAAACATGAGCACATTCTTGGATCTTGAAATGCAGTGTAAAACTGGCAAAAAGAGAGATCATGCTTTGAGTAAGCAAGGAACCAAGTGTTAACAAGGAAATATACTGCACATCAGAGCGCATCTTTTAAACTGCCACATCCTTCACCAGATAGTTCTCAAATCTGGCCAGATGATACCCTGCAGTGGGTATATTCTTCCTGCCAAATGTTGTATTTCCGAGCCAAGAATACATTAGGCTGTGTAATAAGAGGAGGCTGAAGCACACACTTTGAAAGTGGCCCGGTGTGATCCATAAGAACATAAGAGCCCTGCTGAATCAGACCAGTGGTCCATCTAGTCCAGCCTCCTATCTCACACAGGGGCCAACCAGTTCCTCTGGAGGACTAACAACAGTGAATAGAGGCTGAGACCTTCCTCTGAGGTTGCCCCCTGGCTCTGGGATTCAGAAGCTTAGTGCCTCTGAATGTGGAGACTCCCCTCAGTCACCATGCCTAGGAGCTACTAATAGACCTAGCCTCCAGGTATCTATCTAATCCCCCTTTAAAGCAATTCCTGTGGTTATGACTACATCCTCTGGCAGTGACCTCCACATTTTAATAATTCTCTATGTAAAGAAGTATTTCCTTTTGTCCAACCTGAATATTGTGCCCATCAGTTACACTGGATGCCCTTGAGTTCTAGTATTTTGGGAGAGGGAGAAAAATGCCTCTTTGTCAACTCTCTCCACCCCCATGCATAATTTTATAAACTTCTATCATATTCCCCTTTAGTCATCTTTTCTAAACTGAAAAGCCTCACTCTTCACCCTTTCCTCATAGGGAAGGTGCTCCAACTCCCTAATCATCTTGGTTACCCTCCTCTGTACCTTTCTCAGCTCTGTGCTCTGTGCTATCTTTTTTGAGATATGGTGACCAGAACCAATGTTCCCTCTAAGCTGTGGAGTCTTGTGAGCAAAAATTCTACTTTGTGAGCTACTGGCATTAAATGTGCGAGTGAGCAATTTGGCTACTGCATAAATTAGCTTGCTCTGGAGCCATCCTGTCTGAGCTAAGACAAAAATGTGTGAGCCGGAGGCTAAATAACTGTGAGCTAGCTCACACTAACTCAGCTTAGAGGGAATACTGACTGTACATAGTATTCCAAATAAGGCTGTACCATAGATTTATTTATTTTAATTTAATTTATTTATTTAACTTTTGACTTGCTACCCCGCTCAAACCCCCCACAGGGGCACAGGCTTGCATGGGGGAGGAGGGAGAGACCTGGTGTAATAGAACGGCATTCTGTAAGGTTTGTGACAGAAGAGGGGAAATGTGCTTTACTGCTCTTGGGGCCCACCTAGGCCTTTTAAACTTAGTTAATGCTTCACGCACAGCCAAATGGGGGGTGGTGGTGTTCTGTTTGGTTTCTCCTAAGAGGAACATTGAAAAGCTGGCCCCCTTTCTACTCTCTCAAGCAAGTGAAAACAGAAGAAATGGACACAACTACATTAGGTTAGGCTTCATCCTACACTAAAGATCTTTTAAGCAATTGAATATAATTGGACAGTGCCTGTACCTGTAATATCCATATGCAAGCTAATTTAAAAAAGAAAACAACCATTCACTTAAGAGCACACAAGCAAAGCGGCAGCTACATAATCATTTCGTTCTTTGTTTGGCAAGACAAAGTCTCTGTTAGCCTTAAAAACAATTCTTGCGGTATCTTAGACAGATCTGCAATGCAATTTTCTGTGTGCTTGTGCAAAATCTTAGTTTATACATCAATTAAGTCTGTTAATAGTAAAGGTAAAGGTTTCCCTTGCTCGAAAGCCAGTCGAACCCAACTCTACGGTTGTGGTGCTCATCTCCGTTTCCAAGCTGAAGAGCCAGCACTGTCTGAAGACATTTCCATGGTCACGTGGCCAGCATGACTAAATGCCAAGGAGTACGGAATGCTGTTACCTTCCCACTGAAGCAGTACCCATTTATCTACTTGCAGTTTCTTGCTTTCGAACTGCTCGGTTGGCAGGAGCTGGGACCAGAGACAGGAGCTCACTCTGTGATGAGGCACCCAGGTCTTGAACTGCTGAACTACTAACCTTCCAGTCTGCAGTTCAGCGTCTTAACCACTGAGCCACTGCAGCCCCTTTTTTGTGGTTGCAGTGGTCTTCGTTGTCTCATTTCTGAACTCAAAAGTCCCAGACTCTTCAGCCATTGCCAGTCCAGTTTGCAGAGGGAAACAAGGGGGAGGAGCCTGCTCAGTGAAGCCATAGCGTACAGTACCCACCAAAGACAGGCCATAAGCAGGCATGTGTATATGACACTGATATTCCTCACACTGACAAGGGAAATGGCTGGCTAACTTCCAAAAGCACTCTTTTGCTAATACAACCTCTGCTGCCAAAGAAAGCAGTATACCTAGGTTTTTGTGTTAACACAGAAGACTTCACGAGATTCTTTAACACCCAGTCTCAGCTGTCCTATATCTGTCACATCAGCTCCTGGAATGTTAACCTTACGTCCCTGTCAAATGTGAACACAGCAAAGCACAAAAGAGAGCCCAGCTGTCAAGAGGAGAGCCCAGCCTCTGTTTCTTTTTAGTAAAGACGGTGATCAGCAACAGAGAAGGAATGTCTTTAAAACAGCTTCCATTCCCAGGAGAGGATTGACTACAAGGAGTCTCTTATCAGGGCATGCGAAGTTAAAAATCATATTTTTGAAGATTACCAATGTAATGATACTTAGCATTTTAAGTATTTCAAACACTTCACAGACATTATCTTGATTTAGTCCTTACCACGATTTTGTCAGGTAGGCCAGTATTATCTCCACATTAGAGATGGTCTCTGAAGAAGGGCGCTTTGACTCTCAAAAGCTCATAACCCCCAAAATCTTGTTGGTCTCTCAGGTGCTACTGGACTCGGATCTAGGTCTTCTACTGCAAACCAACACTTTTGCCCTCTGAAACATTCTACATGAGCAGCTGAAGTGAAGCACAGCTTACCTAAGGCTGCTTATGACAAAAACAAGATTTGAACCAGGGAGCATTCAGAGAGATGACAGTGCCTCATTCAACTGGTGATGGGCTAGACAGCTGCCGGCAGTCAGAGTAGGCAGACACTGTGGCATATGAAACAGGGCTTGTGACTCAGAAATGGTCAGGAGGGCATTTTTGTCAAGGGATTAGAACTGTTGTGTGAGGGAACAGCCCAGGAAGAGGTTTTTTAAAGGGAACGGGGATCATAGTCCATTGCAGCGTTGATTGTATGTATCACCTTGCTTTTACTGCATTGTCTTCTCTGTGGTGATGGTGATGATGATTACACTGCCTGCATTATGGGATGTCATACCTTATTAGAGCTTTTTTGCTAGCACTGTTCTCTAATTATGCAGCCCTACTCCTATTGTGCTATCATGGGAGTCAAAACGGTGGATAATTTATTTATTCAAATTATAGTCTACCCTACAGTCCGTCTGAACTTCCTTTAAAAACAAAGGTTGGGAGAATACACCTGCTACACCGTGGTGGTGGTTTTGCCTTTAAAAATTTGACACTAGGGCCACAAACTTCGAAAAAACTATGAGGAACATTCAGCAGCCTTCAGGTTCTGAAACAGAATCTGCTACGGGGGCATTCCTTAGGGCTGCAGCCAAAATGATGCTTTCAACAGGCAGCCTTGGAGAACCTGCAGTTACAAGCAAACTGCAGAACTTGGTACTGAGCACAGAACTCAGTACCCATATAGTCTCAGGTGTTGTTGTTGTCGTTTGCACAGGAGGTTCAAGACGGACAAAAGGAAATACTTCTTTACGGAGAGGGTCGTTAAAATGCTGAATTCACTGCCAGAGGATGTCATGATGGACACAAGAATAACAAATAAAGGGGGATTAGATAGATTCATGGAGGATAAGATTATCAAAGGCTACTGGCCATGGTGACTGAGGAGAAGCCCCATATTCAGAGGCATTAATCCTCTGAATCCCAGAGCCTGGAGGGAACATCAGGGAAAGGCCTTGGCCTCTATGCCCTGTTGTTGGCCCTCCAAGGCAACTGTTTTTGCCACTGTGTGAGACAGGATGCTGGACTAGAAGGACCACTGGTCTGATCCAGCAGGGCTCTTCTTATGTTCTTGTATCCGACCCTACTTAGTTTCAAAGATCTGACAAGATCAGGTTAGCCTGGAACATCCAGGTTAGAGTAGTCTACAGGGCACAAAAGTGCTACCTCCCACAATAATGAATGTGCATGGCTGAGCCAAGATGGAATTTGAAGCTAAACTGCATTCTTCATCTAAGTAAACTCAAACCAATACACATCACTCCATGCTCCCAAACCCCAAGCAGACTTCAAAAGGAAGCTTGCCTGGCAAAAGCCCCAAGCAATGAGGCTGTAACATCATAGCTGGCACTCCTCTCTCAATCACAGCCTGCCCCACACACACCTCAAAAAAAGTGCACTGCAGTTCAGACAGAAGCAGAACAGTATGAAAATGAATTTATTTTCTTTGGACCTCCAGCAACAGTTCTAACGGTTGGACTTGGCTACACGTTCCAGCTCGTCCTTCTTCTTGATGGCATAGGAATTGGAGGAACCCTAGGAGAAAGAAACAGCTGTGAGACACGAGTTACAAAGCACATAAAGTTGTAAGGTCCTGAATCAATGGATTCAGGACCTTAAAACTTTATCTATTTGAATGCATGGCATATAAATATTTGCATGTGGACTTTTTTTAAAGGTATCTGGAAACATTTTACAGAAACATATTTGTAGACCTGTCACTACTGTTGTTATAGTTTTGTTTCTACTTTATATATAACACCCCTTCCCCTGGTTTTTATTTGTTGCTGGATTTTAAGGTTTTTTCCTTTGAAAAAACAAAATAATTAAAAAATATCTATTCTGTAAAATTTGTGGTTAACGAGTCTTAATTTATCAAGCATGTGTAAAAATATTACTGTTACCACTATTTAACTTTTCAGCAGCTACTGGCCTGCTGCTTAAAAAATCCTGCGCACCTCTTCTTGTATTCAAGAAAAGTTAAGCTTGCATGCCTTGAACCTGACAGCAGTGGGCAAAGACAACATTATAACATTATAGACAAGCTGGAACATGTCCAGAGGAGGGCAACAAAGATGGTGAGGGGTGGACACCAAGGCCTATGAGGAAAAGTTGAAGGAGCTAGGTATGTTTAGCTTGGAGAGGAAACAACTGAGAGGTGATATGATAACCATCTTCAAGTAGTTGAAGGGCTGTCATATAAAGGATGGTTCAGAGTTGTTTTCTGTTGCCCCAGAAGGTTGGACCAGAACCAACAAGTTGAAATTAAATCAAGAGAGTTTTCGGCTAAACATTAGGAAGAACTTCCTGACAGTGCAGTTCCTTAGTGGAACAGGCTTTCTTGGGAGGTGGTGGGCTCTCCTTTTTTGGAGGTTTTCAAACAGAGGCTAGATGGCCATCTGACAGCAATGCTGATTCTGTGAACTTAGGCAGATCATGAGAGGGAGGGCAGGAAGGGTTGCTTCAGTGCTTAGTTCTCGTGGCCTCTTCTTACACGCCCAGGGAAATGCTGATTGCCACTTTGGGGTCAGGAAGCAATTTTTCTCCAGGCCAGTTTGGCTGGAGATCCTGGAGGTTTTTTGTCATCTTCTGGGCATGGAACAGGGGTCACTGGGTGTGTGTGGGGTGAGGTATTTATGAATTTCCTGCATTGTGCAGGGGGTTGGACTAGATGACCCTGGAGGCCCCTTCCAACTCTACGATTCTAGGGCCTGTCAAATGCTCCCTCACCTGAATCTCCCAAGCCTTGCTGCCAGTTTTCTGATGAGAGGACTCGGATTCCATATTGGAAATGATTCAGAAGTGGCAGTGTGCCACTTCTCACTGAAGGTGACAGGGACTGAACCTGTAATCTTCTGCATGTCAAACACTCTTTGCCAAGTGACTGCTCCTCCTGACAACTGTCAGGCCTTGCCCCGCCTTCTATTCCTACTCGTGAAGCCTGAGCCCTCACCTTTTGATTCTACCTTGAACAAACAGTCACCATCTTAAGTCTCACGTCTTAGACTCACCTTGGCTGCATTGATCAGCTCATCGGCCAGGCACTCAGCTATAGTCTTGATGTTGCGGAAGGCAGCTTCACGTGCCCCAGTACAGAGTAGCCAGATGGCCTGAAGAAAGAGACAAAAGACAAGTTAGCTGGAAAAGTCAGTTGAGACAATGCCTACCAACTAGCTTTTTTCCTTTGGCAAGAGCCCATACCTGGTTTACACGGCGCAGAGGTGAGACATCAACAGCTTGCCTCCTCACTGTACCAGCACGGCCAATGCGGGTAGAATCTTCACGAGGGCCACTGTTGATGATGGCGTTCACCAGGACTTGCAGAGGGTTCTATAACAAAGGACAGGACAGGTCACAGTATGACTGCATCCATTTCTGAGGGGCAAATGTACAGCTTGAACCACCTGGAGAGGATCTGAGTCTAAGCTTGTTTAGTTACACTTTAAAAACAGTATACAAGTGACTCCTCTTAGATCCCATTTCCCATCTGTAAAAGGGGCATGCCCTATACAGGTGAAGATGATGAATGTATAGTAAAAAAGATGGTTCTAATAGCTCCAGGTTACCACAACCAATGAGCGTGTGTATGACTCTGTCTTAATTAGTTGGGCTATTGTCCAATTTAGGTTGGTATCTTCTTCTTGCTTGAAGCAGCTCACCAGGGTCTCAGGTCTCTCACAATACCTACTGTTTTTAACTAAAGAAGCCAGAGACTGAACTCCAGATTTTCTGCATGCCCAGTGTGTGCCACGTTACAGCTCCTCCTGACTACCAGTTATCTGGTGCTTATCACTGGTACACTCTCTCCAATGAAAAAGGCATATCACAAAGAATAAAACTGTAGCTAGAAAACAGAGATTGTATCCTTGGAAGCTAAGCAGGGTTGGCCCTGGCTAGTATTTGGATGGGAGACCTCCAAGGATTACCAGGATCATGACGCAGAGGCAGGCAATGGCAAGCCACCTCTGAATGTAACTTGCTTCAAGCCCCTTTAGGGGTCACCAGAAGTCAGCTTGACTTGATGGTAAAGAGAAAAAGAAAACAGATATCTATGCAAGGACTGAAAAGCATACTGTTAAGGTCTAACTGCCTTCACATTCAAGCTACAAAAATACAAGGAGACATACAAACATAAGAGTGTTGCTAGATTAGATCAGACCAGTGGCCCATCTAGTCCAGCATTCTTCCTCACACAGTGGCTAACCAGTTCCTCTGGAGGGTCAACAACAGGGCATAGAGGCCGAGGCCTTCCCCTGATGCTGCCTTCTGGCACTCGGATTCAGAGACTAACTGCCTCTGAGGTTCCTTTTAGATATGATGGCTAGTAGCCACTGGTAGACCTCTCTTCCATGAATCTATCTGACCCCCTTTTAAAGCTGCCTATAAGCAGAGACCTACTTGAATGTAACCCCAAGCACATAAAACTAACTGCATATAACATGGAAACTATACTACAAGCAGCAAACTCAGTAAAATACAGACTTATGCAATTCTTTATATTTGTTTTGCTCTTTACAGCACTCCAGAGGGCTTATAAAGGCTTAAAAGGTAAGCAAAAAGTTCTGGGAACCCATGAACCCTGTGAGAAGATCACAACGGACAAGATACTGAGCAACCAATAGTAATCTCCTGTGCAGAAATGCTACCATGACTTGAGAAATGTTACATTAAAATTGTGCAAGTGATACTTGAAACTGTTTTGTGCCATTATGCCAGCTATGCAATGGTGTCAACCAGCCCTTGCATTAAACCCACCATAATGCAGACATTCTGCACCGCAAGCTCTCTCCCGGCCTTAAACAAAGGGTGATGTGTGAGCTCCTACCCAAATGCTGCACTGTGGTATGACAGCCACTAATTTCTTCTATCCCTGGACTTAATACCAGAAGAGAAGGCCTATGCCGGACTAACTACTACTTAGGCCAAGAAAACAGTAAATCATAAACCTGCAGCAATGACAATCCTCATAAATACAACATCTAGAATCACAATGAAAATGCTAAAAATATAATAAGGGGTGTAGGTTACTGACAACAGTGTGACTGGTACTTTGATCATGCGCATAAAGCCTGTAAGCCAACAGTGAGCATCGGTTATCGTCAAGCTGATTGCACCCAACTGAGCCAACAGACAAACCACAGAAGATATTACTTTCTACTGGGTCACTCCTTCCTAGAAATCTTTGTCACCCCAATCTGCAAGAGCAAATCCTGATGTCCCAAGCAATGTTCCCTCTAAGCTGTGGAGTCTTGTGAGCAAAAATTCTACTTTGTGAGCAGCTGGCATTAAAGTTGTGAGCAAGCGATTTGGCTCCTGCATAAATCAGTTTGCTCTTGAGCCCTCCTTCCTGAGCTGAGACAAAAATGTGTGAGCCGGAGGCTAAAAAACTGTGAGCTAGCTCACACTAACTCAGCTTAGAGGGAACACTGGTCCCAAGCTGTTGATCACATAAGCCCCACCTCTCTTACCTCTCCTGTTAGCAGATGGATGATTTCGAAGGCATGCTTGATGATGCGGACAGTCATGAGCTTCTTGCCATTATTGCGCCCATGCATCATCATGGAGTTGGTGAGGCGCTCCACAATGGGGCACTGAGCTTTGCGGAAGCGCTTTGCAGCATAGCGGCCAGCACTGTGAGGCAAGTACTTAGCATACTTCTCCTTCACGGCAATGTAATCCTGTCGAAGTATATAAAGAAATGCATTAGAAAGCAGAAATTCTGGAATGAAAATTCAGTTTCCCCTTTCACTAAGGTAAAGAAATTACAAGAGGACTCTAAAAGTCTTGCCTTTGGAGTTCATTCAGAGCCGTACCTGCAAGGAGATGTCACTGATCTGCACATCATCGGTGCTCCATTTCCCAAACAGCTTGATGTCAGGGGTCTCTGCCACAGCAGGGGCTGTCTCCCAGTCAGTCATTCTAGAGATGAAATAAAGAGCTATTAAACTTTGAATAGTCCAACCTGTACTAGCTCTGGGAAAATATAAAAGCTACAAGCCATACTCCTTACTACACAAAAGTGGTCCTCTCACCAAACAGTTCAAACCAACGTCTCATGGACATAAGACATACGCTATCCAAATACACATGGTGGAGGAAAGTGCCATCAAGTCAGAACCAACTTATGGTGACCCTATGGGGTTTTCAAGGCAAGAGACATTCAGAAGTGGTTTGTCTCTGCATAGCAACCCTGGACATAGTCTCCCATCTAAGTATTAATCAGGGCTGACCCTGCTTAGCTTCTAAGGCTTGAAGAGAATGGACTAGCATGAGCCATTAAGGTCAGTCCAAATACATAAGCTGCATCAAACCTGCACATCTAGCCTTGATCTGAAAAAATTATTATGTAGATAGGTTTCAAATTCAGTACTTGTTATATATACAGGTTAGGTTCCTATTACAGGGGATATGGAAATAGAATGCGAAGGCCATGGCTGTGAATCAGAGGCAACTTCAGGAGTATGGAAATAAGCCACATCATTGTGGTATGGCATAAAGATATCTAGAGGAAGGATTCAAGTACATTGTAACAGCTGCAAGTATTATGCCAGATCAAGGAAACCCTACTTGTTTTCTTATTGCTGGACCAATGTTTAGTTCCTCATTCTTACAATTCAGCTTTTCAGCCTCTTGTAGAACCTTCTATGCGTCTTCCAGTTTCAACTGTGATAAAACCATAGCCCTTTAAAACTTCTGCTCTATCGTTTACTATCTTTACTTCTTTAAAACAGCATACTGGAAACCATTTTTCCCTTAGATCATTCCTGTTATTCTTCCCACTAACTGTTAATACAGAGCAGCCAAAAGGCCGCAAGGGCTGTTCATCACAATCAGCCAGGATTAAACACTGGACTACGTATGTACACATATGCAGTTTTACCAGAAATGTTGTCATTCATTCAGTACCCTTGCTGCCTGGCAAACTGCCAAATCCATCATTCAAGTCACACCAGCCTCAGAAAGGGTGAAATTAAAATTTTGTGCAGGAATAGTTCAAAAAGTGTTAAACATACATCCCTCTGTGATAAAAGAAATCTGGTGACCCAAGACTTTATAGCCATAAACTCAGACTATATAAACCCTAATTTACACAAGGAATAGACAAATGGTAACATGAGCAATGGCATTTCAGGGCAGAGATGTCATTTTTAATGCAGATTAAAAACAAGAAAACAAAACTTTGCAAGACAAACAAGAAGAAATCTAGCCCATTTTGCTCCTTGAGATGCTAATCTGGAACGGGGCATTCTTTTCTATTCGTGCAGACTAGGCCAGATCTAGTCTGTAACAGAGAATTCCTCCTTTGGAGGAAATACCGACAAACGCCATCCTAAAGAAGAATTACACCCCGCTGACATCGATGACCTCAGAAAGGTGCAAATCAGTTTATGACTATAGTGCAAGGTTGCATTACACTTTTTCTTTATCGGGAAAGACCAGGCTCTTTTCCCTTTGGTTGTAAAGTGAACCTTAAACGGGCATCGTGTTGGATGTGGTGCTGCTTTTGGTGGCGGCGGGAAGAAAAGCCCAGCAACCAGCGAGAGGCGGGGGTCGAAAAAACCAAAGGAAACAATGGGGCGTGGGTGGAACAGTGCACATCGCCCCCAAAGCACTTAACTCTGCCTCTATATCTATGTAGATAGATCCAGGTGGGGAGCCGTGTTGGTCTGAAGCAGTAAAACAAAGTGTGAGTGCAGATATCTGAAGAAGCACGCTTGCGCACGAAAGCTTATACCTTGAATTAAACTTTGTTGGTCTTAAGGGAGTTTGTTCTATATCTTGGTGTAACCCTTCCCACCATTTTTTTCCCCCCCCCACAAGCCTCTAAGGCCTCTCCCATCTTCTGTCCCCCCCCCCTCTTCTTAATCTCACCTTCCGCAGACAGCCAGTGTCCCCCCCCCTCCAACTGCTCCCTTTCCCCAAACGTACTGCCCCGTCTCCAGTCCTATCCCCTCCACTGAAAGACTCACATGGAGGCTATTCGCTCCCCTCCGCTGGCTCAGACGGAAAAGGGCCACACGCGGGGCCGCCCAGAGTCTTATCCACGGGCCATCGGCTTCCGGCGCATCTTACGCAGGCGCAGTTACTCCTCCCAAAATGGCTTCCGATCCCGGCGTGCCGGCCTCCGTTTCTGCGCATGCGGAGTTGCGGCGTGTTATTTTTCTCGGTGCCCCCGTTTCAAAATGCCGGAATATCGAATGTGTGTATTGGGATTTTTTTTTTTAGCTTTCCATTCCGCGTTACCTGCCTCTCCTCGTTGAATTTTAGTTTTCTTTTATTTCGGGTTTGCTTTCTGTAGATGGGCAAAACACGTGCAATGCGTTAACATTTTGCTTCTAGCGCCTGCGCGCCTAGACCCATGCTTCCCTGTAGGGCATGCGTGCTGATCATTTTGCTTGAAGCAAAAGAGCGCTTCTGAAGTAAGGGCACGGTGCCCTTACTCTCGTTAAAAATTTGTTTGGTGTGTTCCCAAGACAGAAAAGTACCGCGAAAAAGTAATGGAGGTTTTGGGAAGGAAGCTGATTGTTACTTTTCAGGATATTGCATAGGATTAGGTAAAGGTAAAGGTTCCCTTGCTCGAAAGCCAGTCGAATCCGACTCTAGGGTTGCGGTGCTCATCTCCGTTTCAAAGCCAAAGAGCCAGCGCTGTCTGAAGACGTTTCCATGGTCATGTGGCCGGCATGACTAAACACCAAGTCGCACGGAACGCTGTTACCTTCCCACCGAAGGGGTACCTATTGATCTACTTGCAATTTCTTGCTTTCGAACTGCTAGGTTGGCAGGAGCTGGAACTAGAGACGGGAGCTCACTCCGTCATGCGGCACACTCGGGTCTTGAACTACTGAACTACCGACCTTCCACAGCCTGCAGTTCAGCGTCTTAACCACTTGAGCCACTGCATAGGATTAACATGCATGTAAAGATTGAGAGGGGTGGCTCTGTCGTGGTTGTGTTGTAAAGCATCCTCTTTGTGAACAAGGCTGTTGCGTCTCCCTGGCATGATGGCATCTCCAGTGTTGGGTTTTTTTGTTTGTTTTTTAAGGATAAGATAGTAGGTGATATACTTAGGTGAGACTTCTACTCCACTCCTCCAGGAATTTTTCAATGCAGGAAGAAGTCAAACATCTCTAGTGCCTGTCATGGATCGCACTCAGTTTAGAATCCCTCCCCAAAGAACATTCTGTACTACTTGCATTGTATTATGTTGTTGTGAACTGTTTTAGCAGGGAATACCAGGGGGGGGATGGAAAGCTGGGTAGGAATGTACTTGTTTTCCCCTCTTCTGTTTTACCCCCACAACAACACTTTGAGGTAGGTTGGGCTGAGAAAGTGACTGCCCCAAGCTCACCCAGTGATCTTCCATGGCCAAGTGGGCCTCCCAGAACAGATAACCTAACCACTACGCCACATGGGTTTTAGAGGGTAGTTGTGTTGGTTTGAAATAGAGCAGCTCGATTCAAGTCCAGTGGGACTTTAGAGACCAACAAGATTTGGGGGGCATGAGCTTTCGAGAGTCAAATCTCCCTTTGTCAGAGATAAGCTAAAACACTGTATGTGCGCTCATACAATCCAAGCACCCAGTTGCCTTCGTTACCTAAAAATGGTCCTGTTTCATCCCTACCTGAAGAGAGCAAGAAGAAAGTTTTCTTATTCCCTCAAGGAAAAACTCTCAAGCCAGAGGCTTCAATCCTACCTTTCTAGATCTTAGCCATGTCTTGTGATTTCTTTGGGCAAGAAGAATTGCTCCCTGCCTCTCAAGTTAGGAAGAAATAATCTGGGCCACTCTAGAGTTTATTTTCATGATCTCCATATGTATTTGTGAGCTTCCTAGGAGTAGACCAGATCAAGAGCCTCTTGCAGGCAGGTGCGGGGGTGTATGCGGCGCTGTCGTAGGCGTTTGATGCTGCCGTCCACACCGTAGCCAGTCTCCTTGTCGTGAATCCTGCAGGTGGTTCCTTGTGTCCCGTAGGCTCTGAATGTTCTTGGCTGTGTCCTCTATGGAGCGATCTAACTCTGCGGTGGACTGGGAAGGGAAGCAAACGTAGAAAATTGGTAAGCAGATGCTTAGGAGCAGGAGCAGATGTCCTTAGGCATCAGCTTCACGTTCACAGGTTGGGCTTGCCTCATTTCACATGAACACTTAGCAAATCTTTACAGCTCTTAAGCTGCTGTTCTGCTGCCACAGACAGATGAGTTAGACGGTGGGGAGCAATTAGTGGATGGATTCTTCTTTCCAGTGGTGCAAATACCCCTACTCCTGACCAGTGTTCCCTCTAAGCTGAGTTAGTGTGAGCTAGCTCACAGTTTTTTAGACTCCAGCTCACAGATTTTTGTCTTAGCTTAGGAAGGATGGCTCCAGAGCAAACTAATTTATACAGTAGCCAAATTGCCCGCTCACAACTTTAATGCCAGTAGCTCACAAAGTAGAATTTTTGCTCACAAGACTCCACAGCTTAGAGGAAGCATTGCTCCTGCTCCATGTAAGCTGTGGGGGCTTCTGAGCAAAAATTCCACTTTGTGGGCTACTGGCATTAAAGTTGTGAGTGAGCGATTTGGCTGCTACATAAATTAGTTTGCTCTGGAGCCATCTTTCCTGAGCTAAGACAAAAATGTGTGAGCCGAAGGCTAAAAAAATGTGAGCTAGCTCAGATTAACTTAGCTTAGAGGGAACACTGCTCCTGACCTGTTTGACTAGATCAGGTTATATAACCTCTGATCCATCAGGCCTTTTACCAGCAAGAGAACTTCAGAGAAAGGCTCCCGCATGATACTGCTGAATTCAAATTCATCAAGAAGTTTGACACCACCTCCCAAGGGCTTAAGAAGGACCTGGGACTACTCAGCCATTACAGGTATCAATATAATTTCCCTAATTTTGCTAAATCAGTTATCACTCATTACCACTATTCTGAATGGAACTTTTGCACTTTTGACTACATTTAAATGTTACATAATTAGGTCTCGCACTCTACTTTCTGCATTTTATGACCCCTTGATCCAATGGTTTACTGTTTATTTTCCTTCATTTACTAGTGTGTGTGTTATGTTTACCTAGTGAGGATCCACTTTGTCAAAGACTTAAGGTTTCCTACTCACCAAGTCCTTGCAAGGATCATTTGATTCCCTTGTCCCCAGATCTGGGACCCTAGAACAAATCCCTTTATGATAGTTTGACGGAGGCTGGGTTTGGACTCTTACACAGGCAGTAGAACACAGCAATAAAAGCAACAGGATTTATTGAAAAAAGATTGGAAGAGTGGTTCAGGCTTAAACATAAGCAAGAATAAACAGGCCATGTGCAATAAAATAACAAAGTCTAACAAAGCAGGTGCAATAAAATAACAAAGTCTAGCTTCCTACATACACATAACACACAAAGACAGGCAGATTACAATATCTTCAAACCAGCATAAGTAACGAAGCCGCATGTTGGAGATGCAGCGAGATGGTCCCCAGCCCTGGAAAAACTTGTGCCAGATAGTTGTAAGTTAACTTCACAGGAAAACTGGACCACTGACCCCCTGACCAGTATAAGCCAATCAAGAACATGATCCAAAAGAAAAGAGCTAAGAGCAAGAGTCCAGTAGCACCTTAAAGACTAACAAAATTTGTGCCTTCTGAAGAAGTGAGCAGTGACTCAGGAAAGCTCTTCCCCTGCCACATATTTGGCTAGTCTTTCAGGTGCTACTGGACTTTGGCTCTTTTCTACTGCTGCAGACAAACGAGGCTACCCATCTTGATCTGTGATCCGAAAGATGATTCTTGAGGGACTCCCCCCTCCCATATGAGTATAATTAAGTCATATCGCTTTGATATTCAAAGATATGACCTCATGCTTTTCATCTCGGCCTGAGAACAACAAATGAGTGATGGGCGTTTGACATGGAACTCTCCCCACTGTTATTCTTTACACCTGGATGGAATATCGGGAAGCAGGCTATTGCCTTACATTTATGACAGGGCCAAATGCTTATGTTTAAACAGATGGCTTGATACAGAGATAACCATCTCTCTTGACACAGTTCATGCGTTTAACAAAAGCCTATGCTAAGGAAAAGGGGAAAAAAGCAGGTGTCACAAGCCTCCTGTTTGTTTGGGTGATCATTCTAGAATCAAGCCTAAAGCAGCTCACTGGCCATTGTGGCCATGTCACCAGTAGCCAGAAAACTATCTGTTTTTTGCTGATGGCAGAAACAGAGGAGTTGGTGGACTGTATTCAGCCTGGTGAATCATGTCGCACAGACCTCATCTAGGCAAACGTTACCAGAGCTGAGTAAGAGATTTTGCCCTCTGGAAGCAACACTTTATTTAGTCAAAGCCCCAAATTGCCAGGTTCCATACCAAGCATGTTGCTACGTAGCCTGAACAAAGTCTTGTTTGGGGTGTCAATTTTATGCTAGGGGGTTGCTGTGCTGGAAGAGGTCCTCCTGCTTCCTCTGATGGGAGGAACATTTGAAGGAACTGCACATACATGCCAGAGTACTGGCTTTATGACCAGAGTACAATCTCAGTTCATGTAAGCCCAGTCATATCCTGATGCTCCTCCTTCCCTCCTCCGGCATTCCACGGTAATCGTTCGCTGTCCAGCAATCCTCCAACCCCGTGGTGGAAAATATTTACAATTCTTGCAGCCCAGTCTTATGCATATTTACTTAGAAGCCAGTCCCACCAAGTTTAACGGGACCTATCCCAAAGGACATGTGCATGAGTTTGCAACCCTAGGAATTAGTGAAAAATAAATGTTAAGAGCCAGTGCTTTAAGACTCCCTGCTGCTTTTTACCTGGTTGAAGATTGCTGCTTCGGGCAGCTGCGTCCCGACATGTCTTTGGTACACCTGCACCATTGGCCGTGTCAGCTTCTCCCGTGTCTCCAAGTACTTGCTGCTGTCAGGACCCTGTAGAGGTGAAAGTGGTTACCAACCAAAGGTGGGCTCTGGGGATGGGAGGGAAAGGGTGTTGATGGGGAAAGAACAGCTCGTCCCCTCTGAACCAAAGCAGCTGGAGGGGAGGGCAGATTGCAGCACTCTCACCCCCACCACCCCCCCAATTGCTCACCAGAACCATTCCTCGGGTGACGCTCATCTCGTGCATGAAACGCTGGCAGCGGTGCAGGGTGCCGCGTGTTCCTCCCAAGGCCATGTCTAGCCGTTCCTGCAGTGGGAGAGAGACAGAAAAAAAGGAAACTCACCTGTGTGATGAAACTTTATATTCTGCTAATGTTCTCTGCAGAACTGCAGTTTAAAGAGGTGCTCTGTGGGCGGGGACCTGCTTGTTCTCTAGCACAAGGCATGCACTAAAAGGGGAGGGCATGAGAGGAAGAATGGAGCAGCGGGAACCCTTAGGTAACCGACCCTTTAGTGCTCCCTCTAAGCTGTGGAGTCTTGAGAGCAAAGATTCTGCTCTGTGAGCTACTGGCGTAAAAGTTGTGAGCGTGCAATTTGGCTACTGCATGAATGAGTTTACTCTGGAGCCATCCTTCCTGAGCTAAGACGAAAATGTGTGCGCCAGAGGCTAAAAAAACTGTGAGCTAGCTCACACTAACTGAGCTTAGAGGGAACACTGCTCAGCAGCGGAGAGACCTCATTTTTAGCACAGGCAGGTTCAGAGACTTCCTGGCTCTTCCTCTCCTTGTCATGTGACCGTGATGTAACTTGAGTTTCTGTGGGTCCCATACTTCCTCCTGGGGCTAAAGGTGGCTCCTGAGGCTGGAAGGGTTGAAGACCATTGGCCTGTATTACACAACGTTAATGGGGGGACTGGATAGATTCATGGAGGCTAGGCTTATAAATAGCCATATGCCCTGGTAACAAAATGGAAGCCAGTGTGCTTCTGAATGTGAGTCACTGGCGGATGACAGTCCATCAGGGCTTTTGTCCTCATGTCCCACTTCTTGGGTGGTAACTTCTTGGCTACTTATTGGGTTCTGGACCAGATGGGAATTTGTTCGGATCTACCAGCGCTCCATTGATCTTCACCTAGTCTTGTATTGTATACCCCAGGTCTCAGGTCTTCCTACCAGAGGTCCTTTGTCGCTGGAGATACCAGGGACTGGACCCAGGGCTTTCTGCCCTGAGCTGTGTCCCCCTCCTCATTTGCTAGGGAATAAAAAATGAAGACCGGAGGGACACTTTTATCAGCTTGAGAACTGGAACTGTAGAAGATGTCATGCCATGAATGCTGGGGCTGTACCTGAGCACTGAAAACAAATTTCTGGGGCCGGTTCTCTGCGTTTGCCAGCGCATGCGAGCGTGATCACACATACGGGGCAGTTCTCCCCTATCAGGGCGTGAGGCTTCCCAGTACCTTGTGACACAGAGTCTCGTTCCTTTTGCCTTGCAAGCTGTTCTCAATGGAGTTGTGGGCTGTGTTGCGGGTGTCCTGTGCCTCTTTGATGGCCTCTTTCACCTTCAGCATCACATCCTTGGAAACAAAGGTGAGGCGCTGGGCATCATCGAGAGCTGCCGCACACTCTGGAGGGTGGGAGGGAAGGAGGGAAGGGGAAGTGATCTGTTTGTCAAACTTGGTGACTTATAATGCACCCATCAGGATGGGCCACCTTGCTTCCTTCTGGAAGAGCCAAACCACATGAGACACTGGCACTGAAGAGTTCCCAATATGGTTGGTTTTTTTAATAGATGCACCAGACCCTGATTCAGATTGGAATAGCATTAAGGGAGGACACAGGGAGGGTTAAGACTCTAGACCACGCTGTTTTCCTGACTTGAAATGACCCCACAGAGTGGACTGGGTTGAAGATACAAAGCTGCCTTTTGTTGAGTCTGACTGCTCCTCTCTCTGTATCAGTGGTCTTCAACCCATGGGTTGGGACCTGCAGGGAGGGGTCCCAAGCAGTGCCATCCTAAGCAGAGTTAAAAAGGTAAAGGTTCCCTTGATCAAAAGCCAGTCGAATCCGACTCTAGGGTTGCGGTGCTCATCTCCGTTTCAAAGCCGAAGAGCCAGCGCTGTCCGAAGACGTTTCCGTGGTCATGTGGCCGGCATGACTAAACACCAAGGCGCAGGGAACGCTGTTACCTTCCCACCGAAGTGGTACCTATTTAACTACTTGCAATTTCTTGCTTTCGAACTGCTAGGTTGGCAGGAGCTGGAACTAGAGACGGGAGCTCACTCCATCATGCGGCACCCGGGTCTCGAACTGCTCAACTACTGACCTTCCACAGCCTGCAGCTCAACGTCTTAACCACTTGAGCCACTGCAGCTCCAAGCTGAGTTACCTACTTCCAAGTTCATTAAAGTCGGTGGGCTTAGAAGAGGGAGATTGCTTGGGATGGTACAGAGGGTGGTTTCAGATTAGGAAAGCAATGTGGTTGGGAAGGTGTACTCTCCCCCAACCCCGATCCTCCTGCAACATCATCCTGATGTGAATATGATCCTGTATAACTGCTATTCACACAAAAACACACAAATGCTTGGGAGCTCTGTACTCAGAACTTCCAGTGTCTCATCTAGATGGGCCTTGACATGCTATGCATTAAAGAATCAACTCCTGTTCAAAGGAAAGTTTGTGTTAACTTCCCCATTGGACATGTTTCTTCCCAGCCATTGCTCTGAAAGAGCCACAGGGAAGCACAGAGGCTGTGTACCATTATCCTGTGTTCCATTTTGTTTTTCTATGTTTTTCCCCCTCCTCTCATTTTTCCCTCTCTCTGAGTTTGCAGTGATGCTCCTGCATGGTAACTTCAGCCCAGAAATAAAGATGGACAAGATACACAGCAGCAGGGCATACAACAGGCCAGGATGCTTCTTTGCAGGACAATCCCCTCATGATGGAGCATCCTGGTCTATTTCTGGATGTGTGAGGTTGGTGCACATATTCATCATCATCAGTGGTGGTGGTGGAAAGTGCCATCAAATCACAGCCGTTTTATGACGACCCCCATAGGGTTTTCAAGGCAAGAGATGTTCAGAGGTGGTTTGCCATTGCTTGCCCCTGTGCAGCAACGCAGGACTTTTCTTGGTGGTCTCCCATCCAAATATTAACCAGGGCCAACCCTGCTTAGCTTCCAGGATCTGAAGAGATCAGGCTAGCCTGGGCCATCCAGGTCAGGTCTTCATCAGCAGTACTGCTTTTGAAGGTAGGTGTGTTTACCAGACGGCCATGTCCAGCATTAAGCATGTGGGGACTATCTAACCCATTTTATTTTAATCCCACCCTTCCTCCGAGAAGCTCAGGGCCACATAGGTAGTTCTCTCCTCTTTTTTATCCTCACAACACCCCAGTGATTCCATGGAAGCTGATGTGGCGGCCAGATTTCCTTGAGCTGCAATGCGTTTGTGTTTACCCACGTATTTCCCCCTTTTCTTACACTAGTGGGGGGCTTTCCCCTTTACCTGGTGTGTAAGGTCCGATGGGGTCCGGCCTGGGTGTCTGGTTTCGCTCTACCCAGGGGGACGAGGGCCGGCCCAGTCCAAGCCAGGAGTCACGCCCAGCCGCTAGGAGAACCATGCGCAGGGGATGTGGCATCAGGTCCAACACACGACTGCGTTCGTCACACGCTGTTTCCAGGGCTTGCCGACATGTGCCCAGTGCCTGCACAATCCAAGGCATTCGTGAAGAGGTAACTAAACCAAGAATCCTACTTCTACCCCCCCCACACACACATATTGTGCCTCAAAGAAATACAATGCACAGATCTGATTGCAGCACAGGTGACTGAGAAAACCTGTAGGCCATCCTTCCACGTAGGTTTCGTAAAATATACTCGTTCACAAACATTTTTACTAACCCGCATCCTAGTGACAGTGAATTGTGGCACTTTGATAACTTGAAGGGAAGCAAGAAGTAGTCCTGTCCCTATACCTGAAAGCATCCTTGCTTGGGTTGCCTGGGGGAAGTCCAACCTGCCACAGGCAAACAGCTGTGTAGAGGTTTTAGATGCCTTTGACAGGATGATCATGATTAGAGGGCCAACTGTCACCACTGACTTTCTGTCCTCCTTGTAAATTGCTGGTTGCCGTCAGACTACTGGAATATTTATGCAATTCCTAATGAGTAAAGAGGTTTACGTGAGTTCTGCAACAGGTTGACAAGGGTTGAACAAGGCTTCATAACCAGGTGCCCTGAAATGGGGGCATCCTCATGGCCAGAGCTATAGGAAGGGAGTAACATTCGACTTGGCGCAACCACACTGATACTCAGCACTTCTTAGCAATGGGTTGCAAAACTGAGGCACATTAAAAAATGGGCTGCCGCGCTTCTGTGAATCCCTACTAGGGTGCACATCTGTCGTATGGTTGTACTGGGTGAGATGCTATTTTGTCTGCTTAGCTGCATTCAGAGAGAGATGCTCCATGTGGAGGCGTGTAAAGTTTTTGAACAGGCCCATAAGGTTTGTAGCATGTGTGTCTTATGTGGGCTGGTGTAATTAAGGAAGGTGAGAACCACCTTAGAGCAGGTGTGTTGAACTCATTTGTTATGAGGGCCGGATCTGACATAAATGAGACCTTGTTTGGCCGGGCCATGTGTGTCATAAAATGTAATGCCAGGTAGCAGAGATAAAAACTTTATAAAGGAAACAAACACAAAGGGGCTTTTTTAACTTAAAATAACAACATGCTTAAAACATTAGCACTCTTGCAATATTTTGTTTATTTAACAGCGTCTGATAACTGACACCTCTTGCTCTGAATTATTGCGTCAAAATATCTGTGCTGTTGCAATCCTGAGTATGCTTTTCTGGTGTGTATCTGTAAGCTGCAAACCTACGATGACGCAGCAGCAGCAAAACTGGAAGAAGCAGCAGAAGACAGCCAGTTCCACTGTGGGCCTGATAGAAGCCCTCTGGGGGCTTGATCCGGCCCCCGGGCCTCATGTTTGACACCCCTGCCTTAGAGGGTGTCCTCAAAGGTCAGTCTGTAACCACAAGCCATTCCAAAGCAGCGTGGCATTTGTGGTCTTTTTATAACAGATTGTCTGAACATAAGAAGAGCCCTGCCAGATCAGATCAGTGGTCCATCTTGTCCAGCGTCCTGTTTCATATAGTGGCCAATCAGTGGGCATCTAACAGAGCACAAGGGCTAAGGCCTCGCCCTGATGTTGCCTCCTGGCACTGGTGCTTTTTTGTGTCTCTGAATGTCAAGGTCCCTTTAGTTGTCATAGCTAGTAGCTATTAATGGGCGTCTCCTTGACTTTGTTGACTCCTCTCTTTAATCCATTTATGCATGTGATTATCACAACATCCCTTGGCACTGAATTTCATGACTTCATTGCTTGTTGGGTAAAGAGCTACTTGCTTTTGTCCATCTTGAATTGATTGCTACTAACTTCACTGGCTGCTCCTAGTATTGTGGGAGATAGAGAAAAAGTTCTTTCTTTCTACTTTCCCCCCAACCCCATGGCACAGTTTTATATCCAGTGTCCAATCAGTAGCCCTGCTGGGGAAAAAGCTCCACTTGACCCCACCCACGTTCAAAAACACTTGTTGGGCACTAGGAAAGGTGCCAGCGGGCATCGTGGCATCCACGGGCACCATGCTGGGGACTGCTGTGCCAGCAATGAGTTGGTAGCTGTATGACATTGCAACCGACACAACCTTTGTTTGCTAAGGATCAGCTGAAACAACCACCGTATGGCTGACTTTTGCAGCCCCTCTGTGGTGGTACCAATGAACTGGAGTGATATGGGATCATGTCATCTTCTCAACCACCAAGACAATGCAAAGAGTTAAAAATATTCCATCTGTACGGTGACTGAGGAGCCAGCAGTGTGCTGGACCCCTCCAGACTGCGTTGCAGGTAAGCCTTCCAAACAGGTGGGTCAGGGCCTAGGAAGATTGCAGGACTATAACAAATTTGCTCTTCCTCATCCCAAAGTTATTGTCGCTTCCCTTCTTTGCAGTGAAATGGAGACTTATTACAGGTAACAAACAACGTGTTTTATTTCTTTGCTTTGGATGTGGACAAGTCCCAAAGTGCTGATGACATCCCCTTTGTGTTCAAGAGTCCTTTTTGTATCTTGTGACCCTCAGCTGCTGCTCCCCACCCACACACACACATTGCCAGTAGGAATTGGCGGGGTCCTGTTTCCTACCTTAAGGTGGTCCTCTGACATGGCCATCATCCCTTCTAGCTTGACTTTCTGTTTTAGTAATTCCTTCTTCTCCCATTTCATCAAGGCATCCACCTTGTCAGGCACCTGCAAACGAGGGAGGAGAGCAAGGCGGATTGTCTACGTGGAACAGGAGGGCTAGGTGATTTACGCGGAAACCCTCATGTAGGGCACGGCTCCCTGGCACCCACCTATGCTCCTGGTCTGACATTGCCGTGCTCAGCCAGAAGTCTCCCTGGAAAAGCTGAGCATCTTTTCCCTCGGTCTGTTCTGAAAACAAGAACCTGCAGAGTGACAGTGTGAATGAAGAAGCCATGGGACTGCTCTTTCTATGCTGTATCTTGTCGTCATCCTTCCCTCCCCCCCAGGAACAGATGAAGCTGCCTTATATTGAATCAGACCATTGAGCAAGGACAGTATTGTCCACTGACTGGCAGCAGCCTTTTGCATCGCCTACGATCGGATCGCTTTAACGGGAGATGCCACGGATTGAACTGGAGACCTTCTGCATGCCAGGCAGATGCTGTACCTTTGAGCTTACAGTTCTTCCCCTGTGTAGTGCACAGACGTCTGCACTTCATGTACTTCATACTTCTGAGAACATGTGTAGTACTGTTACTTTATTTAGATAATACTTTGTTTTTCTAGAGCAGTGGTGGCGAACCTATGGCACGGGTACCAGAGGTGGCACTCTGAGCTCTCTCTGCGGGCACACGTGCCATCACCCCAGCCAGGCCCAGACCATCATTAAAGTGTCGAATTCTCTGCCAAATAATTTTAAGTAAATGAAAGCATTTGGGATTGCTTTCCTTACTTTGTTTGGATCATCTTAAGTTAATGTATGAGATGTTTCTTTCTAAAGTAAAACCTCAGTATTCAGGTTAAATTGCCGTGTTGGCACTTTGTGGTAAATAAGTGGGGTTTGGGTCGCAGTTTGGACACTCGGTCTCTAAAAGGTTCGCCATCACTGCTCTAGAGGGGTTTTTTTGTGGGGGGGTTCAAGAGAGCAGGTGACTAAAGTGGGATCAAACTTAGAGGTTAATAACATCCCCAAATGGTGTGGAGAGAGTCAACAGAGAGGATTTTTTGCTCTCTCAGAATATTGAGGGTCACTCGTTGAAGCTGATTGGCATTAGGTTCAGAACAAGCTCATGAAAGCCCTTCTTACAATTCCAAATTAACTTAAGGAACTCCAAGCTGCAACATGTGTTGAAATTTGTGTCTTGACAAGCTCTACTAGCTGAGATCCTCCTAAGATGAGATGCTGGGGCTTGGGCCTCGGATCTTTTGCTGGTGAGGTAAGCTCTACCACTGTGCCACTGCCTACTCACTCGTAGGCATGACAGCTAAATGGAGCCTCAGTGTTCAAGGGTGGTAAACCTGTGACTGCCAAATTCTGGGGAAAGACAACAGGAGAAAGCCATCACTTTCATGCCTGGCTGTCCTGGAAACATCTGGAGAGCAGTAGTTGCAAAGGGAACACTAGACCAAGTGGATCTTTGTCAGTGTTACTGGTCAAGGGCAGTGGTATTCATTCTGCAGCTCTTGGAGAGTCACATTCGCAAGTACTGTCAGCTAAAAGAGCCACATTTACTTCCATCCCCAGCACGAGGCCAGCAGGACTCACCTCTTCCCTGACCAGCAGTCCCATGAAACTCCAACTGGTGCGGAATGTGGTGGCACACTTGCTGACAGCGTCATCTGTGCAGCCGTGCATTCAGCCAATGCTACGCCACCTGCACTGGCTACCAGTTGAATACTGGACCCATTTCACGGTTTTGGTGCTGACCTTTAAAGCCCTATACAGCCTGGGACTGGCATACCTTCGGGACCATCTCTTCCCATATATGCCCCAGAGAGCCTTGCGCTCCACTGAACAACACCTACTGGTAGTCCCTGGCCCAAAAGATGTCCGCTTAGCCTCAACCAGGGCCTTTTCTGCCCTGGCCCCCGCCTGCTGGAACACACTCCCAGTTGAGATCAGGGCCCTGCGGAACATGCTACAGTTCCACAGGGCCTGTAAAGCGGAGATGTTCTACCAGGCCTTTAGTTGAGGGTAGGAGGGGTTTTCCCTCTGACGATCGGGGCCACGCCCCCAACGTGAGCGACGTGGTTGCGTCACCTCTGGTGACGCAACCATGCTGCGCTTCGGGGGGCGGAGTTCCCCCTGGGGCCTGATTCCGCGGAAATCAGGCCTCCAAAGTGGGGGTTTACCCGCCCCCCGCCTCCACTTGGCAGCCCTAGGGCGGATGTTTTTTAAAATTTATTTTACAAAATGTATATCCTGCCTTTTCTGTCCTCACCAAGGGCCCCTAAGGCAACTAACAAATTCAAACATGCATGGTAAAAGCACATTTTAAAAATCATTAACATCACCCCTCCCCACTGGCAAAAGATTCCCCATTCAGCTCCTGGTATGTCCTCTTCGAATTATTTCAGGCAGTAGAGCTGGTAAGAGATACCCTAGTCAGGGACCCGGAGAGCTGCTGTCTGTCAGAGCAGACAGTACAGCGTTAGATGCACCATTGGTAGTGACTGTACATAACGCAGCTTCATATCTGGTCTTATGTAAGAAGTTTATATTCCTGTGTGAGGGCAAGAGTTTACACGCCCTTAAGAAAGAGCTCTTAGCGTTCCCATGAAATGTACTGCCTGGAATGAATGGGGTGCAGTTTAACCTTTGTCATCTCCCCAGCTAGTTGGCTTCAGTTCTGATCCTCCTGGACAATACAATATTGTATTTTAATCTTTTAATGTGAGCTGCCCTGAGCCTGCTTTGGCAGGAAGCGCGGGATACAAATCAAATAAATAAATGAATGAAATGGTGTTAGAAAGGCTGTGTTCAGTAATTTTGTTTTGCCAGCCTTATCATGTGCTCTGTAAGGCGCAAAGCACCACATGCCTAGGGAGGCAAGATGAATCATACACAGCCACAGGCTTGTGGATTTTGTACTTGGCCCAGGGATTTGACAGACTCATGTGAGCACACTTGTTGCAGATGACTAAGTGCTTGGGGAGCATGCCTGTGACACAGCTTTGCTGGCTAGTGAGTGGTGGGCGGGTTCAGTAGTCATGTGCTGTAGCTGTCTCACCTTCTCTGGTGTTGGTCTGTGCTCCCGGATGACTTGGGTCTGCTTGTTGGTGAGGAGGCTTTGGCGGATCCTGGCCAGTGTGGCATTAAGCCGTTCTCTCTCACGCACCAGGGCCTTGAACTGCTCATTTATCTCTATCAGGGCCTGGCGCATGCGGCTCACCACTTGACGTGTCTCCCTGCTGTACTGAGCCACAAATTCGTTGTTCTTGGTGTTGAAGTAGTCTCGGAAGCAGGGCAGGGCCAACTTGCAGACCCAAGGGGGAGGCTTGACTTTGGACTTCCACAGGGTCACCCCGGGCCCTTCGGGTGGCTTTCTTTTCACCTCTCCAGTTGATGACACATCCAGCTTAAATTTCCAGGATTCCTTCCTAGCCTTGCGCTCAAAGGGTGTCTCCTCAGGCTGTCCAGGAGCCAGGGGGGCCCTCCAGAGGTCAAGGGCTTTCTTCCCACAATCTTTCGTCAGATCGCTGGATTTCTGGACGGTCCTGCTGTTGTCCTTGTGCCATTTTTCTGAGCCTACCTGACCTGTCACCAGGTAGGCAGGAGGTCCCATAGCTGCCATTGCAGTGCTGCTGCTGGATGAGAGGAACAAATATGGTACCATAATCTTGGTGTATGGTAAGAAGATGCCAGCACAGTGCAAGATGCAAGAAAGGGTGGGCTACCTAAGAAGAACTCAGGTCCAAGTTTGGCAGGACTTGAAGTCGTGGTAAATGCTATCACGGTCTGGGTTGGAAAGGGAAAGCATTGCACAGACCAGACGGGCAAGGTGAAAATGACCTTTGGGGGGGCATCAAGTCAGAGCTTGAGGGTGACCCTGTGGGTTTTCAAGGCAAGAGACGTTCAGATGTGGTTCGCCATTGCCTGCCTTTTTGTAGTGACCCTGGTATTCCTTAGTGGTCTCCCAACCAAATACTGACCAAGGCCAACCCTGCTTAGCTTCCAAGATTTGACAAGATCAGGCTTGTCTGGGCCAGTGATCCTTTAGCCTGCTAAACTGCAAGTGGCCTGCACCCATCACCTACAAATCATGGAATACTCCTCTGAAAACCCAACCCTTGCTCTTGACTTCAGCCCCAGGGCAATTAGGGCTGAAGGGAATTAGGGTCGAAGGGAAGTTTTTCAAGCGCCAACATCTCCAGTGCTAGTTTGGGGACTTTCTCCCTGCGTGCAACAACATTCACATCTCCGCTGAAAAGAAATAACCCAAGTTCTAGAACCTTTGGCAAAACTCAGTCTGAGGCAGGAGGATGGGATTAAGAAAAATCGACACTGCAAATGTAGGAATTCAGATTTTACAATTTAAAAATCTGGAATTCAGATTTTTAACATTGTGAATGCTGGCAGACTAAAAAACAAACAAACCCTACTGTGTCCCATGAATCTCTTTCCCGCCTGGCCCCTGCCATATGCTCAGTTTAGCACTTTTCACATTGGAGAGCCAATGTGGTATAGTGCCTTAGAGTGTCGGACTAGGCCCAGGGAGACTCAGGTTCAAACCCCCTTTGCCATAAAAGCTAGCCGGGTGACCTTGGACCTAGCCTTTTTATATAGGGGGGTGGGTGGTTGTGAGGATAAAATGGAGGAGGGGAAAACAATGTTGTAAGTTGCTTTGGGTCCTGTCACGATCATGAGCCTGTAGTGTGGCCTATAGGCTCTGTAGAGGCCTAGTGGCTCCAGGGAAGCCTGCATGGGAGTAATCATCAGGGCCTACATTTCCCTCTGGACCCTGTGATTGGGTAATAGGAGATTTTGGAGGGAAAACTACACCAGCAGGGGACCAGAGGGTGGTGCCTGGGAAGAAGAGATAGAAGGCATTACCCAGTGTGTGTGTGGGGGTGCTCTCTCTCAGGGAGCAGGGCTGGTGGAAGCTGCTGCAGGCAGAGGGATCCCTCATGCAAAAAGGGGTGAGTTAGACTCTGAACAGGCACCTAGGGAAGGTTGGACTGTGTAGACAGACACGTTAGGATTTATTATTTTACTGATTTACCTGCCTTTACTTTCCTCATTTTTCCCCTATTTGTTACAGATCTAGTTGTTGTTAAAATTCTTAAATAAACTATTTGTTACTCTGCCTGGGTCCTCACGCCTCATTTGGTCTTGCTCGCGTCGTGAGAGGAGTGCCAGCAGCTCCTCTCCGTTGGTGAAATTTTATCTTTATTTTATTCTACTTATCTATTTTATATAATCGCCCTTTGGATTTCTCTATGCTTCAAGGCTATAACTGTGTATCAGCGACAGGAAGCATTTTATTCAAGTAGCATTGTTTAAAGTATAAAGCTGCGCCGCGGCACATCGCGCCTCAAAAGCGGGGGTTTCCCCGCCACCCGCCCCCACTTGGCAGCCCTACGCAGGGCCAGCCCCAGCTTATTTTGCACCCTAGGCGAGGATCCCTTCTGGCGCCCCCTGTGCACCCACCATGGCTTGGACCTCTTAATTGGATCTGTACCCTGGACCTCCCGTTCCCCTGACACCCATGCTCTTAACACTCACTTTTGCTTTTGTAACTTTGCCTGCTTTGCACATCTGGCTTCCACCAAGGAAGACTCTGCAAAGAAAGGCACTCGCAGTCACAAACAATCATTGCTTCTCGCTTGCCTTGACAGTTCCTTGCTGGGGTTGCCATAAGTCAGTTGCAACTTGAGTGTCCTTATGTAATAGCCCCCCAACTTAGATTCTTCTTTGACTCAGCTGAGTGACCCTTCTGTGCCCAGAGGGCTAAGTTGTTTGGTGGAATTGGTGTTTGTATCATCAGAAAGATCATAACATGTTTAAAACTCAGTAGTGTTTGCAGCTGAACCAGCGGGGTGTGTGTGTGACAGTTTGGCTCTCCTAAGGGCCGGCGCACTCTAGGCGAGCGCCTAGTTCGCCTAGTGAATGAGCCGGCCCTGGCCCTACGACACACCCCTAATGTAGCCAATCCTCCAAGAGCTTACAATAGCCCCTGTAAGAAGAGCTCTGTAAGCTCTTTGAGGATTGGCTACATTAGGGGTGTGTCACCTAATATGCAAAGGAGTTCCTGCTACAAAAAGAGCCCATTGTAAAAGTCCTGTAGAAAGAGGTAGGGTGGGTGCTCTGAGCCCTCCCAAGAAGACCCATACCAGAGTGGGGGCAGCCAGTAGTGAACCTTCCTAGCTGCTGCCCGTGACAGATCCCCACTGGGAAAAGGGTGGGATCAAAATAAATACATCTGACCCTTTTGAATCCTGGCAGCCTCTGTTCCTCCCTAGCCCTCTTCATCCCTTGCGTCTGTTTATTCCTCTGCACTATTGATGCCAGCCTCTGTTTTGGAGAATCTCATTCTGTACTTCATGCTGCTCTCCTTCCACTGTAGTTAGGATATAGGTGCACATCTGGCTACAACACTTAGTGATAGCTGCACGGCAGTTGTGCCTGAAAAACCCTTAAAGGCAGACTGAACAAGTTCTGCTTTCAGTCCCATTACTGGCGGAGTGCAGACTTGGATGTAAATCTCTTTGCCATAGATTCGTATGATATTAAACCTAGTTGGAAGTTTTCCCTCTTGCTCACTGAAGGGCTTACAGAATGCTGTCAAACATGCCAAGGTATACTGCTTGCTTAGAAGCAAAATTTACTTTTAAGATACAGGTTGCTTGGTCCAGATCCAGCTGCCTGCTGAAGAAAGATTATTCCAGCTGCTCTTGCAAAAATCTACTATCTTTAAAGGTGAAATTACCCATTGAGAAACTGGGCGCTTCCTGGAAAATGTTTGATCTGAGAAGCTGCTACTGTTGGGAAATAATATTTCTCTCCATTTTAGAACTCTGGCTGAATTTCAGCACAATGAATGTGCATTTCTTCCTACCAGGAATGCTGAGCAGACCAAAGTAGTTGCTACCCATTGTTCTTAGAGTTAATTTTTGTTTCCTGCAAATAATTTTTATATCTATATATCTAATAGCCAAGTGGCCCCGTCTGTGCGGATATCTAAATCCGCGCTCCGGGGCCACTTGGGGGGCAGGGAGAGGTTTGTGCACACGTGGGGCAGTCCCCACATGTGCACAAAAATGCTAAATGTCGGAAAAAATTTCGGGGGGATACAAGAGGGGGACCCGCGATACTCGTGGGGGGGGGAGGAAGCAGCAGGAGTAGGGAAGTCGGCGCTGCTCTCTCTCCCTTCCCCCCCCGGCCCTCGCTACTCTCCCCCCGGCCGGGCGAGCTCTGCCGGGGCAGGCGGCGGGCTTCTCTTCTGGGGAAGGAGGCGGTGACGGCGCGGCAGGAGGAGGAGGGCCCGGCAGGGGCTCGGCCACCTCGCGGCTCGGTGGGCTCAACCTGTTGCAAGTAGGTACGTGGGGTGAGGGGGGGAAGGGAGAGAGAGCAGCGCCGACTTCCCTACTCCTGCTGCTTCCTCCCCCCCCCCACGAGTATCGCGGGTCCCCCTCTTGTATATCCTGAAAACTGAACTGTATTCCAGACCCAGTTTGTGCCTGAAACTTAGAAAATGTGCCTTGCCCTTTTTTTGCACTGGAACCCTCTGTATACAGCTTTCTCTGTACTTTCTGCTGGCTTATTGTGTGTATGTCTAGCTATATCTGTCTACCATAATGTCCTGCCTACCTCCCCACACCAGTCTCCTGACAGGACATAGCCCTAGGGAGCTTCTGTTTGCTGGACAAGAGAAATTATGTATCACACTCATATGTACCCCTCAGTACACTTATAACTCCCCAGTGGGGCAAATAGTAGCTATCTCGGGCCAGTTCAAGTCAGGAAAGTGGAACTGAGGGGGACGCTTAAGGGCCCCCCACCAGTGTTTCTGATCCAAATTGGCCCTCGGGAATTACATTCCAAGGGCAGAACTCCCAGTACATGTCCAAGTGACAGGCCTTGTGAAACACTGGTCAGGGATGCTCTAGGCTGATCCTGCATTGAGCAGGGGGGGTTGGTTGGACTAATGGCCTCTATGGCTCCTTCCAACCCTGTGGTTCTCTGATTCTATGACTGTAGTGAACAAAGCAGGGACATGAAAACAACATAGTGTACATTTAGGCCCTCAGTCTTTACTAGCTATTACCCTCATTTGTTTCACACATCCATCTGCAGCCACAAGAACTTAAATTTGTTTTGGAAAAATGACACATCAAAAGAAAATAGACTTTTAAAAAGAAAATAATATAAAGAAGGCCAGAAATTGCTAAAAAACAGTAAGAGGGGAAAGTGGGTATTCCTGCCCCAGAGGCCATAATATTTCAAGATCTGTGGCATTCATATGCACATAGATGTGCACATGCATATTAGGCAAGAGCACTAGAACTGCCTTGCAGGATCAGGCCGAGGATCTGTATAGTACGCTGGCTCCAACAGTATCCTCGCCCTGAATGTCCCTGGGATGGGCCCACATCTTCTCTGGGGGCAGGGGAAGAGAACAGAAATAAGAAAAGGCACAATTCCAGGTATAGGCAGTGGAACACCCCCTCCCCAGAACTCGCCTATGACTTGCCACCCATATGAACCTGATAGATCTAAAGGAACGGTGGGAAGGAGCTAATGCTACATGCATCAGTGTGATCTGGAAGGGATCAATAGGAAAAGGAGGGGGGGGGGTAACAAAATGAGATGGATTTACTTGAGCCTTGTTTACCTGAGTCTGGTCAGGCTGAGCTGTCTAGGGCAAAATTAAGGGTACAGGCCTTGGGTCCAGCTGTCAGGGATGGCATAGGAGACATCTGTCTTGCCTCACAATCTGGTTGTGAAGGTTTCCTCCCAACAGGATCACTCTGGCCCGGACCCAGGCTGTCCCTGGCGTTTCTTTGCTGGAGTCGGTTGTTATGGCAACAGGTGCTCGCCTCACAATGCTGCCTTCCCGTACAGCAAAGGCAGCAGATGTCTTGGGTGGTAGCGGCGGCCTGCCCTCCAGTCTTTCACAGACCAAAACTAATGTGTGTGTTTGCCACATAATACGGAGAGATGGCTGCTTATTTCCTAAATAATGAATGGCACAAAGGAATTCCAGTGAGAACTGGAACACTCTGCTAAAGACTGTAGAATCCTTTTTCTAAAGTTTTCTTACTCTAATATGTCAGCTGACTGTTGTTGTCCTTAGTCTGTTCTGTTTTCAAATAATGTTAAAATGGGCAAATGGACACATGAAACTGCCTTATACTGAATCAGACCTTTGGTCAATCAAAATCAGTACTGACTGGCAGTGGCTCTCCAGGGTCTCAGGGTGGAGGTCTTTCACAGCACCTAGTATTTGATCCTTGCATCTAGGGATGCTGGGGATTGAACTTGCGACCTTCTGCATGCCAAGCAGATGCCATGCCACTGAGCCCCCTTGTCCTGATTGTCTTCTCTTATCTTCTTTTACTGTCCTGTGGCAAGTCAACTTTCATGCCCAGATGTAACCCCATGCTGTTTTTAAATCCCTGGTTTCTGAGCAAACATTGACACTTTTTATAGTTAAACATGATTTTATGTGTCAAGGTGAGGGGGGGAGGAATGGTTTCTAAGTTTCTTGGCAACAGATGGCTTCCTTGGGGATTCATTCTTGCTCTCTTGTGCCTTCTGATATCTCATGGAAAGTGGAGAGCATGGCTTCCCGCACACGGTCTGTGAGTTCCGGGACATCAGCTGAAACAAGCCCTTCTGTCTTCATTGGTGGGAGGATCCGGATTGTCACTTCCCCTGTAGAAGAAGAACCCGGGAACAAAGGAACTGCTGTATAGAGCCGGATCTGAAAGCAATTTCTTATACCCAATAGCTAACAGGTCTGGAATACAGCTAAAATTGAAATGTCCATTTGTGTCTGCAAGAAAAACAGACTGTACCTGCCAAGTCAGAAGAATCTGATTCTTTCCCATCCTACTATCTTAGAGGGGCCACAGCTTTGGACCCATCTGCAGTCCCAGGCATTTCCAGTGAAAGGGGCTGAAGCCCTGGAGAGCTTGAAGGGCAATAATTAACCATCTCCTATACCCAGGGCCAATGCTCCCTCTAAGCTGTGGAGTCTTGTGAGCAAAAATTCTACTTTGTGAGCTGCTGGCATTAAAGTTGTGAGTGAGCGATTTGGCTACTACATAAATTAGTTTGCTCTGGAGCCATCCTTCCTGAGCAAAGACAAAAATATGTGAGCCAGAGCCTTAAAAACTCTGAGCTAGCTCACACTAACTCAGCTTAGAGGGAACACTGCCCAGGGCAGGTTTCCAATTCTCTGTGTCTTCCCTCCGCCCCACCCTTCCTCCAAGGAGCTCAGGGAGGCGTGCATGGTTTTCCCTGCCTCCATTTTATTTGCACAAGAGTCCTGTGAAGTAGTTTAGGCCGAGAGAGAGTGACTGGTCCAAGGTCACCCAGTGGAACTTCATGGCAAAGTGGGGATTTGAATCCAGATCTCCCCATTCTTAGTCCAGCATTCCAGCCACTGGAGCTGACATACGGTATATAGTCAGTGAGATGTTACTGAGTTCCTTCTACACTGGTCCCTGTGAGGAGTGATTAGTCAGTTATGGGCCTATATAAGAATGGGCATGGTCCTTGAAGTACACTGCTGCTGGAATTAATTGACCAGGCTTCTGCTGTCCTCCAGTGAATCACAGTAGAAGGTGTTGTGCAGAAACCCCCTGCTAACTGCTGCTGTCCAATCTGCAGCAACTCATTTAAGTCTCATCTCTCAAATCTTTTCAGAAGCAGCATTCAGTGGCTGATCATGCTCAAGTTGAGTACTAGGCTGTTGGCACAGAGCCAGTGAAAAAGCTGCAAAAATGCTGCTCTGTCTGGTCTGCTGCCCTCACTAATCCTCCCAGCAATCTGATACTTGACTTTTCAACAACCACTTTGAAAACAGGTCCAATTGTTAAAAAGAAAAAGTTACTAAATCTGACAGAATTATAATATGCAACACCAGGTCCACGGTGGACCCGTGTCTAGGGCAGCTGTCCCTATCATCCCTATCCTATGTACACTACTGTACCTCATTAATAAGAACATAAGAGAAGCCACACTGGATCAGGCCAATGGCCCATCCAGTCCTACACTCTGCACCACACAGTGGCCAAAACCCAGGTGCCATCAGGAGGCCCACCAGTGGGGCCAGAACTCCAGAAGCCCTCCCACTGTTGCCCCTCAAGCACCAGGAATACAGAGCATCACTTGCCCCAGACAAAGTGTTCCACCTATAAAAGGTAAAGGTTCCCTTGCTCAAAAGCCAGTCAAATCCGACTCTAGGGTTGCGGTGCTCATCTCCGTTTCAAAGCCGAAGAGCCAGCGCTGTCCGAAGACTTTTCCGTGGTCATGTGGCCGGCATGACTAAACACCAAGACGCACGGAATGCTGTTACCTCTGCAGTAAGAGAACCTAGCGTGGGATGAAAGAAAGAATTCTGAGGCTGAATACGCACGTGTATGGTTGGTTATAGCACTATTGCATATAGTGCTATAGCAGTCATTCGCAAACTGGATTTTCTTGTCCACAAAGAACAATTCAGTTGCAGATGGTTTGATGTAGCACCATGATAGCACAATATCAAGTGGTGTGTGGGCGCAGTCTATGAAGCCATTGTGGCAGAGGGACCAAAAGCCATAAGCAGAGTGTTGTTTAGCTGCTCAGACAAAGGTTGGAAGGTGTCCTGGAAGTGCTTATATAGGTTGTTGTAATGTGAGAAATGATATGTAAGGTAAAGGTAAAGGTTCCCTTGCTCGAAAGCCAGTCGAATCTGACTCTAGGGTTGCGGTGCTCATCTCCGTTTCAAAGCCGAAGAGCCTGCGCTGTCCGAAGACGTTTCCGTGGTCATGTGGCCGGCATGACTAAACACCAAGGTGCACAGAGCGCTGTTACCTTCCCACCGAAGTGGTACCTATTTATCTACTTGCAATTTCTTGCTTTCGAACTGCTAGGTTGGCAGGAGCTGGAACTAGAGACGGGAGCTCACTCTGTCATGCGGCACCCGTGTCTCGAACTGCTGAACTACCGACCTTCCACAGCCTGAAGTTCAGTGTCTTAACCACTTGAGCCACCGCAGCTCCTGAAATGATATGTAGGAAAGTGCATAATCCTTCCCCAGTCTTTTCAGGCCACAACCCCCTTTCCTTGGGTTGCCAATCTCCAGGTGGCACCTGGAGATCTGCTATTACAGTTGATCTCCAGATGACCAAGATCAATTCTCCTGGAGAAGACGGCGGCTCTGGAGTCTGTGGCTCTGCTGAGGTCCCTTCTTTCCCCAAGCTCCACCCTCTTCAGGATCCACCCCCCAAAATCTCCAGGTACTTACCAACCCAGAGCTGGCAACCCTGCCCTTCCGTCTGTTTTTTTTATTGAAACAGGTTTAGATAGATTTATAGAGAATAGATCAATTAACGACCATTAGCTATGAAGTCTAAATGGAGCCTTCATGTACAGAGGGAGTGTACCTGTAAATGCCAGTTACTGAGGGCAACAACTAAGAAAGGCTTTGGCCTTTGTGCCCCTTGTTGGCCAGCTAGATGAGCCCTGTGGGGAAACTGGATGTTTGACTAAATAGACCAGTGGCCTGATCCAGCAAAGGCCAGGCTCATGTACTCATGCTTCCTCCTTGGTTTCCTATGGGCTTCTGAGACTAGGAAAAAAATTCTGATTCAGGAGGTGAGATAAGCAAGTTTGGGACAGGTGGAGAAACAGGATAGCTTAGCACATGTTGAGCTCCTACATTTAACTTAGGCTTGGGATGCAATGCCCCGGGAAGCCTGCATTTCACAATCCAAGTCGGCACCTCCCAAACTCATTCCCATTCCAATCCTCTCTTACGCTTACCTGGAATAAATCTTTGGATCTTCTTGTTGAAGAAAGGTCGGTATGAGGACATCACCACAGGAATGACTGGGACCTGCCGTGCAAAGCCACACAATTAAAACTTTTTATAAAATTTGTATCGATCATCGAGTAGTCTTACTCTGATTGCTGGTGTTATAGGGGGAATTTTTTGCCCGTTGTCTTATTCTCCCTCATTTTGTGCGGTTTTAGGTGGTTTCTTTGTTTACTGAGATTCTAAGCCACGCTTTCAGAACAGTGTATAACAAATATAAAACAATGAAATACCAATAAGATACTGAAATATCAATCAAAATCAATATAACATTAGATTAAAACGGTAGCAGGAGTCAGGGAGATCTCAGTTTTAGAAGGCAAACATAAAACAGGAAGGTTTCCTCTCCTGTCCAGAATGCCTGCAGGGAGGGACCCAAATGGGTTTCATGCGGAAGGACATTTCAGAGGTCTAGAGAAACCACAGAAAAGACCCTCTTATATATGGAGTCCAATCTGGTCTACCTGAAAGACAGAACTAGTGAGAAGTTCTCTCCAATCAATCTTAAATTACAGGGATATTCATGTTAGAGTCTCTTTGAGATAAAAGGTACCCAGATTGTCCAGTGTTTGACAGGCTAAGGCCAGAATCCTGAATTTGCTCCAGAAATACATAGGAAGCCTGTGCAGTTGCTTTAATAGTCATAGAATAGCTCACTGACTAACAGTTGACATAAATCTGGCTATGGCATTTTGCGCTAGCTGAACTTCAAGGGTAGCCCCACACAGAGGACATTGCAGTAGTTTAATCTAGGACGCTGCCTTCGTTGAGAAGATCCAAAGTAGAATGTTACCAGCACAGAGATATGGACCTGGAGTCCATAAATTCAGATAACTTCTTCCAGCTGTTTCATGCAGATATTAAAACCATGATTTTGGCCCCTAAGGAACCATATTCTCTTGTTCCCAGAAAGTAGAACAGCAGTCTCACCAAACCAACATTTGTCCAAAAAGGCAGTGGGACTCTGCAAAACCAATCCATCTCCGAAACCTATGAGATATTCCAAAAGGACACCCAGCTGATGGTAATGAAAGTTGCTGAGAAATCTAGAAAAATCAGCAGTTCTGCTGGCCTTCTCCCGATGTAAGGCATTTATCATATTGTCCAGCTCACCAACTATCATCTGCTTCACAGGGCCTGCTGTCTATGCTCCTACCTTCAAAGTAAGGTGAGCTGGAAACCAGAGACAGGGCCTTTTCTGTAGTGGCACCTTGCTTGAGGAATGCCCTTCCCTTTAAGGCTCACCTGGTGTCTATGTTACTTTCTTCTAGGTGCCAGACCAAAATGTTTTTGTTCACCCAGGCTTCTGAATAAGGGATTGGTTTTTTAATATTGTTTTAGTCTGGAAACTACTATTTTAAGGTGACAAGGCTCTGTTTTTATGGTCTGTGTTTTCATGCTGGGCTGAGTTTTTAATGCTAAATTTTAATGCATATCTTTTAATGTTTTGAATTTATCATTTTTTAAAAAAAAAAATTGTAAGCTGCCTCAGACAGGATCCTGGAGAGACAGCATGAACGTTTTCTAAATAAATAAATTATGCCAGAGCAGCCAGGACAATGTCCATATCAAACTAAAGCCTAAAGCCTCAAAGGAATAGATTTAGTGGGCCGTTTCCTGCTTTAGGCTGGAAGCCTTCTTCCAACAGAACATCCACTTTAATAAAAGGAAGGCTCTTTAAACTGGCGAAAGGCATCAAATGTTACCAGTGGAGTGGTAGATGATATAGGCTTATAAGTATTGAGACTAGCTAGGTATAGATTTTTTTCCACTAAAAGAGGAGTCCAATGACTATCTCCTTTAAAGGTAAAGGTAAAGATAAAGATTCCCTTGCTCGAAAGCCAGGGTTGCGGTGCTCATCTCCATTTCAAAGCCGAAGAGCCAGCGCTGTCCGAAGACGTTTCCGTGGTCATGTGGCCGGCATGACTAAACACCAAGGCGCACGGAACGCTGTTATCTTCCCACCGAAGTGGTGCCTATTTATCTACTTGCAATTTCTTGCTTTCGAACTGCTAGGTTGGTAGGAGCTGGAACTAGAGACGGGAGCTCACTCCATCATGCGGCACCCGGGTCTCGAACTGCTGAACTACTGACCTCCCACAGCCTGCACTTCAGCGTCTTAACCACTTGAGCCACCGCAGCTCCATTAGATAGCTCCTTTAGATAGCTCCATTAGCTCCTTTAGATAGGTTAAATAAATAAGAAAACTCCTGATGGAGTGAAAACTCCTGATGGAGTGCCCTAAAAAAGAGAATAAACCAACCCAACTGGCCAGTGTATCATTTCTACATGTCACTACCAACAATGGGTATAGACTGGCAATATGTGGTGGCATGCCCAGTCTGGAGCCTTTGTTACAATTAAACTGATGAAAGCAACACTGACTAGTGGCAACCCTAAAGAGCTCAGGTACATAGTTATCAATATGAATAAATAGCTGGTATGGAAGACTGAGCCCTGACCAGGATGTCCCAGGCTAACCTGATCTTGTCAGAACTCAGAAGCTAAGTAGGGTAGGCCCTGGTTTGTACTTGGATGGGAGACCACCAAGGAAGTAGGGGGTTACTATGCAGAGGCAGCAACTGCAATCCACCTCTGAAGTCTCTTGCCTTGACAACCCCATGAGGGGTCACCATAAGTCTTCTGTGACTTAACAGCACTTTACCCACACACCTAGCGTTGCAAGGTCCCCCCCTCCTCCTCAGCCACTGGCAGGGGATGGGGGGGGGGGTCAGGTTGCCAGATCCAGCTTGGGAATCTCCTGGAGATTTGGGGATGAAGCCTGGGGTTCATCCATAGAATCCACCCTCCAAATCATCCATTTTCTCCAAGGGAATTGATCTCTGTAGTCTGGAGATGAGCTGTAATTCCGGGATCTCTGTAGTCTGCAGTTTAGCTGTAACTTCAAGGGATCCCCAGGTCCCACCTGGAGGCTGGCATCCCTAACACACACCAACAGGGAAGACTGAGAGGCAGATGATCTCACCTGGGCTTTCACAGCCAGATGGAAGGCTCCATGTTGGAATGGCAGCATGGTGGTGTAGTAGTTTTTGGTGCCTTCGGGAAACACCCAGATCCGCAGCTGGAGGAGAGGGGAAAGAGAAAACAGAAATGACAAGTAGGGATCGGTCATACAGTGTTGCACAGTGTTTTGAATCATGGGGGGCAATGTTCCCTCTAAGCTGTGGAGTCTTGTGAGCAAAAAAAAAGAGCAGTTTGTGTCAGAGTTCTCTCAGCCCCACCCACCTCACAGGGTGTCTGTTGTGGGGAGGGGAAGGGAGAGGAGTTTGTAAGCCGCTCTGAGACTCCAAGTGAAGGGCGGGGTATAAATTCAATCTCCTCCTCCTCCTCCAAAAATTCCACTTTGTGAGCTACTG